CAGTAAAACTTTATTTTATGTACAACCACGTAAATGAACCATGTCTACTATTTTCCAGAACTGATACCAGTGAAAGCATTTAAATACTAAATTTGAACTAAGCAATGTTCTTATAACCACTTAACAGGAAAATGTACCATCTTTTTTATTACACTCATTTACCAGATTACAAAAAACCTAACAAAACTGCATGCTATAGCTATTAAACACTCAAATACTACAGATTCAGGAAGGACATGCCAGATTTATACTAGCTTTCAGGAATGTGGGCACAATGATGCACTGTGGTTTGGGACACTGCAGTTATTCCCATGCTAACTACAAAAGACAACTGTGATAGTTCAAATAGCACAGTATAGTAACTGTTGAGATTCTAATGATAAATATTAGTAATGTAGTAAATTAATGCTAAGATTCTTTTTTAACTGCAGTGGGTAATAAGAAATGGATCCATTTAAGCTTGTTTTCCTGTAAATTAAAACGAATTCCACAGAAGCTACCATTCCCCCTTTAAACCATGTCCCACCTCTCACACCACAGTAGGACAGTAGTGAATTGTACACAGTAGTGAATTGTACACAGAATATCCCAAGAAGCCAGAAATTCTCAAAAGAGTTTGCTAATGAGTTTTTACAATGACAGACTTATGTTGGTGCTCTGCACCAGTAATTTTTCCAGTTTTATGAGACAGCCTAATAAATTATGTTAGATTTTTCTTTTTTCCTTATTTCTTTAAAATGGGAGGAAGGATTCCTGTAGATATCCTGGGTCCTTTTAAGGACTTTTCTAAGGCTGAAGTCAAATTTAGTTTGGAGAACTCAAGGCAATATGTACCAGCTTCCAAATCATACCAAATACCGTTATAAAGATCTATTCTTAATAATGATTTGGTGTCATCAGCACAAGAAGGACATGGAGCTGTTGGAGCAAGTCCAGAGGAGGTCCACAAGGATGACCAGGGGACTGGAGCACCTCCTGTATGGAGACAGGCTGAGAAAGTTGGGGCTGTTCAGCCTGGAGAAGAGAAGGCTGTGTGGAGACCTCATAGCAGCCTTCCAGTATCTGAAGGGGCCTATAGGGATGCTGGGGAGGGCACCCTTGTAGTCTTCACCTGGGACTGTAGTGATAGGACAAGCAGGAATGGTTTTAAACTTAAACACAGAAAGTTCAGTTTAGATATAAGGAAGAACTTCTTTACTGTGAGGGTGGTGAGGCCCTGGCATAGATTGCCCAAAGAAGTGGCAAATGCTTCATCCCTGGCAGTGTTCAAGGCCAGGTTGGACAGGGCGCTGAGTAACACTGTCTAGTGTGAGACTTCCCTGCCCATGGAAGGGAGTTGGAACTAGATGATGTTAAGGTCCTTTCCAACCATTCTATGATTCTAATACAAATTTCTGGAGGTCACAGTAGAACCTCTACTCCTTTCTGCTGAACAGGAAGGTACCATTAACTTCAGCAGAATTAAAGGGTTGATAAATATTGCATTTAAAGGCCATATGATTTATCATGACCAGTAATACTTTCTTGGCAGCTGCCAAGATTTTAAAATCTTCTGATGGATAAAAAAATACCACAACTAAAAAATGATGTTCATTAACAACAGCTTTCCCTTCCATAGCCTCTCAATGTCTTAGCCACGATAATCTGTTAATCCATGTTAACTTGATAATCCTAAATATATGTCAAAGTGTAGCCCAGAGGAAACAGTTTGGCAGTTAAAAGAATTAAGGTTCTTAGAATTATCTAGAAATAGAATTTTCATTAAAGGAAAAAAAAATAATCCACATTTTGAAGTTAATTTTCATCTTTTGTAAATCGTGTGATTTAACTGTAAATTACATCACTGAAAATTATAACTAGCGCTACAAGTTGAAAACCCAAAAAGATGAGTTTTGCCAAGTTACTGGCCTATTAATCCCATATAATCCCCATCCTTAAAATAACATCTTCAGAAGGATTGTGGCTATATCCATCTGTTCAAGCACTGAATATTTTATTATGTTTTACAGAAACACCAACACATTATAGAAATGTCATCTAGTGAAGTTTTAATTCTTTCTGTATCTGACTAGCTGATGACATCTCTGTTCCAGAGCAAAAGCCAGCAGGTAAACTAGCACCCTGATTCCACTCAACAGGCCACTGGAAGTTAGAACTTCAGGCAGGATAAAAGAAACATTGCCAAATTCCAGAAGCAAGAGTAACAAAACATGCCATCCACCTTTTCACATGGTACTTCAACACTGACGTGACTGCAAACCCCAGATGACATCCAGCTTGTTACATGGGCAGTGCTTGCAGGGGGGTTTCCTTGAACCATGCTGATAACAGCACCAGGATTTAATGGGATGCTTGGTGATATTATAACTAAGTGAAAAGGAGATGCCACACAATCCACCAGGTAAATTACTGGTTCCTTATGCTCATTTGCAAACCAAAAACAAAAGTCTTGTCCACCAAACATATCAGAGGATTAATTCCTTCTTCATGGACCCCCACTTTTTCTCACTACAACAGAAAAAACAGTGGGGCACACATTTAAAACCAACACAAATATAACAAATCAAAGCAAATACAACCTATCAGAAGAGAATCTTATATCTTCAATTCACTTAAGCAAATAGCCAAAGCTACTTATCTCAGTGGAACTGAGTCTCTAAAAGAGTCATAGCACTTCAAAGATGCATGTCTGGACCCAGGAAAACATTTCTGAAGTTCAGAAATATCTTGGAATTTGTGAGTGGACCCTGATTCTTACCAGTGAAACCACATCCCTGATTCTTACCAGTGAAACCACATTCCTATCATAGACGTGGGCATTTAATTAAACTCAAAAGGACTGAAAAATCTAATGTATTTGCATATTAGGCAATCCCTTTTTATACGCTTCAGTTTTCAGTTTAGGATTAATGGTAGAACAAAGTAGGGTCTGATACACATCTACACTCCGGTAGTGAAAAATGGTCTTAAAATGGGCATCAGCGTAATTTCAGTGTAACCAAACTCAAGGATAAAAGGTCAGTTCCTAAAGATTTATATCCATGTTATCAACTCTCTCCACTCACAGAAACTACAAAAACTTGAGAGTAAAAGTGATGAAAAACTGTTTTTTTTTTTTTATACAAATGCTACTAAAAACACACAGAAATCAGTAGAAAATTATAACTACTTTAAACCTAGCTGTTGAACTTTATGGTAAGGATATAATTTTCTGCTAAGTTTTATAGACGTGCCCAGAAATAAACCACCAGGCCTCTATAGAGTTTTATAGGGCTTTTCTGTAAGAATTACAAACAGTGGTATTCAAATAATACTTTTGGATTAGTCTGCCAGCAGCCCTGAAGCTAAAACTGCATTGCATAAACCAGGCATTGAATAATTTGGGATAATGAACAAATTCATAAAAAGTCAGTGGCTGTTTGTCAGTAATCTGTGAACAGACAAAGTGGTAAATTCGTTGAATGAAAAACTCCCAGCTGTGAATAGTTCACCCAGCTTTACTGCTTTGCCTTTAAGGGACTGCCTGAAGGGCTTATAACTCCACAGCATTCTTGCCAGGTAATTTGTGCAGCATTTTTTAGCAACAGTTAAATTAAAAAGCCCTTATGGGAAAAACTCAATGAATTTAATAGAGAAGAAATCAATATGGTTCTGCAGGAACTACTCCAAAACCTTCAGTTAGATTCTCTCCCCCAGTCTCAGCCCCTTTACAGAGCACGGTATGGTCAAAGCAGCACAAGAGAATCCTCAAGTGATTACAACTGCAGGGAGTCTCCAGGGAAAGCATTTGTGAGACCCTGTTAGAGTGTGTTTTGCACTTACAAAACACACCTGGAACAAGAGGACAGCATGACGAGTGAGGAGTGAGGCAGTTCTTAGAACAACCAGAGGATGTTGATGCAGTTTAACTAGGAACCAAATTACACCAATAGTGCAAGGAAAGCTGAAATGCTTTTCAACTTCACATTTAGAATCATAGAATAGTTAGGGCTGGAAAGGACCTTAAGATCTTCCAGTTCCAAAGCCCCCTACGATGAACAGGGACACCTCACACTAAACCGTGTCACCCAAGGCTCTGTCCAATCTGGCTTTGAACACTGCCAGGGATGGATCATTCACATCATCCCTGGGTAACCCATTCCAATGCCTCACCACCCTAACAGGAAAGAACTTCTTCCTTATATCCAATCTAAACTTCCTTCATTTGTTTTAAGCCATTACCCCTTGTCCTATCACTACAGTCCCTAGTGAACAGTCCCTCTCCAGCAACCTTGTAGGCCACTTACAGATACTGGAAGGCTGCTATGAGGTCTCCACACAGCCTTCTCCTCTCCAGGCTGAACAGCCCCAACTTTCTCAGCCTATCTTCATATGGGAGGTGCTCCAGTCCCCTGATCATCCTCGTGGCCTCCTCTGGACTTGTTCCAACAGTTCCATGTCCTTTTTATGTTGAGGACACCAGAACTACACACAATACTCCAAGTGAGGTCTCACCAGAGAAGAGTAGAGGGGCAGGATCACCTCCTTCAACCTGCTGGCCACACTTCTTTTGATGCAGCCCAGGACACATTTTCTGGGCTGAGAGCGTACACTGAAGCTGGCTCATGCTCATCTTCTCATCAAACAAGACCCCCAAATCCTACTCCGCAGGGCTGCTCTGAATCTCTTCTCCACTAAGCCTGTAGCTGTGCCTGGGATTGCTCCGACCCAGGTGTAGTACCTTGCATCTGGCGTGGTTAAACTTCATGAGGTTGGCATCAGCCCACCTCACAAGCGTGTCAAGGTCCCTCTGGATGGCATTCCTTCCCTCCAGCATATCAACTGAACCACACAGCTCGGTGTCATTGGCAAACTTGCTGAGGGCGCACTCAATCCCACTGTCCATGTCAGTGACAAAGTTGTTGAACAAGACTGGTCCCAACACTGATCCCTGAGGGACACCACTCGTTACTGGTCTCCAGCTGGACATTGAGCTATTGACCACAACTTTTTGTGTGCGGCCATCCAGCCAGTTCTTTATCCACCGAGTGGTCCATCCATCAAATTGATGTCTCTCCAATTTAGAGACAAGGATGTTGTGTGGGACAGTGTCGAATGCTTTGCATAAATCCAGGTAAATAACATCAACTGCTTTACCGCTGTCCGTCAGTTCTGTAGCCCCATCATAGAAGGCCACCAAATTGGTCAGACAGGGTTTGCCCTTAGTGAAGCCATGCTGGCTGTCACCAAGCACCTTGTTGTTTTTCATGTGCCTTAGCATGCCTTCCAGGAGAATCTGCTCCAAGATTTTGCCAGGCAGAGAGGTGAGACTGACTGGTCTGTAATTCCCTGGGTCATCCATTTCCCCCTTCTTGAAAATGGGGGTTATATTACCCTTTTGAGACAGTGCTCTTCCTCTGGGACAGGTAGCCCAGAGAATAAATACAGGAATCCTATCTCAACTAGGGAACCATAGCCAATTTAATATTCCCACAGAAAAGCTGGCCTTCATGGCTCAATTCAGTAAAATACTGCCTTTTGCCACTCCTTTACACTTAGCCTGCCTCAATGGGAAGGTAATATGGAGAAGTCAACAATACAGAAAGCAGGACAAAGCCCATCGTTTCACAGATGAACAAGAGCATCCTGAAAGTCCTAAGTGAGGCCCAACTGATGAAAGTAAACACAGGGTGTGCAAGCCAACGTTGACAGACACTCTTGAATACAGGGAGACCCTAACCAAATTCCATTTGGGAACAAAAGCCTCACAATAAAGGTGTCTGGGGGGGCAAGAATAACATTAGTAGTAAAATGGACCCTATTTTGCACTATTATTAGCTCAGATTACACGACAGTATACACCCACCATCTCCTGTATTCTGTTTCCCCAGGGCTGAGAAGTCAGACAGTTAAGTCCAACAGACAGAAAGGTGGTGCTGCACCTAAGAATTCCTGATTTTAACTGTAACTATGCTTTCTGCTTCCTGGGACACCATGTGAAAAACGCATTAAAGTCTGAAAGATAGAGTGGTTAGCATGGAAATTATAGCACCACCTTAGACATGGGGGAGGGGAGGGCAGGCACAACCAGAAGACTCTCTCTGCAAACAGTTACTCAGTTTCAAGGAAAATATTTAATGTTTTGTCTCTTAATCTTTACACTTTCTCCTCATTAGCTTTTAAAGCTTAGTTCTAGTATCAAAGATAACCTAAGTGGATGACGAAGGGAATAAAGTGCAGCTGAAATCAACATGCTCTTAGGAGCTGTTAGATTTTGTAGCTTTTGTTTAGTAGTAAGCACATTCATTAAAGTGCAATTACCACAATAATAAATATAGATATTACTAATTATAATACTAGATTTTAAATGCAACTTGAGTGTCTCCAGTGGCTTTTAAAGTGGTGTAATACCACAGCCAATTCAAATTTAATTAAAACTATCAGTTTTATTTAGTCTACATTTACAGCTAAAAACACTAAAGAAATCCAAACTTTAGTCATTCTATAACTTTATTCCAAATACTCATATTAGGTACAGGGAAAATCTGAATATTTATTTTTATAAATAACTTTATTTATCTTTTGCGCATCTATGCTTACATGTCATCTTATTCTTTATTTGACTTAGAGTAGGAAAATGCACACACTTCCCTTTTCTTAAGGGATGCACATGCATTTTTCCACTCAGTGCTTAAAGAATTGGACAAACAAATCCCACTGGTAATTATAACACGTAATCTTATCTGAACTTCAATCTGTTGCCCTAGAAGTCTCTCTTGTGACATTTAAAAGCGTAGACAGATACAACGGAAGATTTCTGGAATCTGTTCTGCTGTCCTACATGACTCAAGCCAACAGCAACAGGACTGGTCTCAAAATTGCCATTATGCATAAGTTATGCATAAAGCTTTGATTTTTAAAGGAGTCCATGAAAACTGACTCATTCTTCCATCCTTTTGAAATTCCCAGTCTGCACCCCTATTTGTGAGGAGGATTATTTCTATTTTATACAGGGGTAGTATTTAGAGGCCCCAGCACAGATCAGGGCCTTGTTGAATTAGACACTGAGCAAGCACAGCAGAAGGCCTGTGCTCCAGGAAACTGACAAAGGAGAGTGGGAAGGGAAGCAGAGACACAAGGAACTGGTTTGCTCAAGATCACACAACACATCATTAACAGGCCAAGACCTTCTGGCTCTCTGTGAGGTTAAGGAACTAAAGATCCCCAACATGAGGTGAACTTCTAGCACTGAAAAATGATACTTTCTAACATTTATATAGCAAAATGTCCTTTCACCTGACTGTAAAAACACAATATAATGAATATCATCAAACAAGGTACTGGTTTAGAATACTCACAGCTCTGATCCACCACGGAAATGCTGATACTCCTCCATCTAGCCTTCAAAATAAAGGCAGATTTCAGGATCATGTACTAATCAAAGAACTTGCTGCACGGGTTAGCATATAGTGCCTGCCTTCAGCTCAGTTTCACTCCATCATATCCAGTCCTCTTCAAGCATTATGACTATTAATACCAATTTGCTATTTCCCTGGAAGAGAAACTTGTACCAGCTCTCATAACACCAATGTATTTCCACTAAAATTGCAATGCTGCCATTGATTTCAATGGGAGGAGAATGAAGACAGTGCAAAGAAAGGAGGAGGGGATTTCAGCACCACAGGTACTACATGACTTGCCTGCCTCAAATGGCCATCCCCATTTGCTCACTACAGCATGAAGCCCCAAAGAAAGCATAAAATTTGTTTCAAGGCAGAAGTATGTGTTGAGTAGCCCCTAAAAAATGCTGTTCTCTACAATCTGAGCAGGAAAAAGTCCTGTAAGTAGCAGCAGTTCATAGAATCATAGAATAGTATGGGTTGGAAGGGATCTTCAAAGTTCATTTAGTCCAATCCCCTGCAACAAGCAGGGACATCTTCAATAGATCAAGTTGCCCAGAACCACACCCAGCCTGGTCTTGGATGTCTCCAGGGATGGTTGTACTTAATCTGCCAAGTCAATTCTTACAGCTTTTCCTAGCAGATTTTGAAGTTCCAAACAATGGAGCAGTGAAGGATCTCTACCAGACTGGCTAAAATCTGTAGCATTCGTTGACACAAAGACCATTAAGGCCCAGCTGGGATTTAAAAGGCACAGAAAAGCCCACGTCAAAGCTTTTATCTTTGCCAAAGTGTGGTCAGCCATCTAGACATTTATGAAGGGTTTACAATTTTATTTCTTAAGTATGCTTTCTAGAAAAACTAGCATGAGACCAAAGTTTAAGAAAAATATGCCTGAATGCAGTGCTTGTTCTAGCCCAAAACTAGGCCAGAAATAGAGCTACATAGTTTTGGTGTCACTGATTGGTCAAAAGTATCTTTTAGTTTATATTTAATCAAAATGAACATTAAAAAATAGCAACCATCCTAAAAGGTTCCCTTTCTAATACCACACTAAAGCACTTCACCCAACTGCAAGAACCACTGTATGACTTAGCTCTTTTCCAAAAATTGTAAAATTTCCAGTAAGAAAGTGTTCAGAACATTCTTCAAAGTATTAGTCTTTCTCAGAACCACGTATCTGCTCTAACTGCACTGTGTTATCAGTCAAGGAGTCAAGTGCACTGAAAGCAGGAGAGGTGTGGTGCTGGTTGTGTCACAGAGAAATTACCAGGACTAAGTGCAACCCAGGATGAGATGGGTAAGGTACAGAAAGTCAGCTTAGAAATTACACAACAGGAAAACCCTTGATCAGCAGGGCAGGGTGCATAAATGTGCCCATGAAGGGATCATAAGGAACAGACCGACTGCTGGCACTAACCCAGTGACTGGAAGCCAAACCACAACCTCATCTGCTTGCTTACCTTCTTTAGGCATGGGACTTAGGCTCACCTCCTCATGGATCCACCTCTTGTCAATATTGCTTGACCAAAAAATGCTATTTAAACATCATTCCTAATCAGCAACAACTCAGCACCTAAGGGACTTGCTGTTGTCACATTTCTCAGTATGCTGCCATGAACAATGATTGCTGCATCACTGAGGGAGAAAACACCTCACAAGAAGGTGAGATCATATAAGACACACTCGGTGTATAGCACCAAAGAGATAGCAGCTGGCTCAAGTGGGCAGCCAGCAAAGAAAATCCCAGGGTCAACAGCTGAGGTGATATTCTAACATTCTCCCAGCAGCCCTTGAAGCTAATTCCCATCTCTCCCTCATTCAAAATTACAGCCAGTAAATCAGCATAGCTAAACCATCATAAGACTGGCAACTGAAAAGCAAGTAAAGTTCCCTGGATTAAGACACAGAAGCAGATTAAAATAAACATTATAATAGCAGCTTGCCAGCAGGAAGACTTAAATGCTGGCTTTCTAAAGAAAATTACACCATCTGATACAACTTAAGAACTGTATTTTTTTTTCATTTCTATCATTTAAAAACTGTTCTAGTGTTGACTAATAGCTATGTTCTAGTTGCCTGAATTTTATCCTACCTGCACAGCGAGTATGCCGATATCAAAATTTTACTTATATCCAGTGAGCTTAATCTGGTATCAGAAATAAAACTTTATTGGAATTCGAACGTGAAAGAAAGATTCTCTCAGGTATCCTTTTAACATTTGTTTGGCAACTATCACTGGCATATTTTTTTTAAGGATTTTAAGTCTAGAACCAAAGCTGTTTATTATATTGACATGACAGTCTCCAAGCAGAGTTGATTCAGTATAAACCCTTGGGCTGTGCAGACTGAAAAGGCTCAGATTCACTTGTCAGAGAGGAGGAAGAAGACACTGACAAATGCTGTCAAACAACAGACTTGTACCACAGTAGAGATCATTTCTTTGATCAAGAGAATCACATCCTGATTCTCTGTAAATACCAGCACTCTGCACCATCACAAATTGTGATAACAGTTTTACATCGAATCACTACTGAACGTATTTACTCATAATAACTGCTGAACATAAGGAAGCTGTTCAAAAAGCAGTTTTGAATTTTCATTCATGCGCAAACCCTCCCTAAAACAATCTTAAATATTTAATGGGTCAAAGCAAAACAGCAACAAAAGGAGAGACTGGGAAAAGGGCAAACATAGGGGGCAATAAAGGTTTAAAACAAAAGCATAGAAGATGGCAAAACTGCCTCAAATATAGAGTTGAACCTGGGTATTACATAAAATCCAGGAAAGATGTTAGTATAAAAGGAAGGATATCAGCACCTTCTGGCACTTCAGTTTCCCATTTCACTTCTTCCCCTGAGCTCAAGGGGATAGTGGGACATACTATCCTGCCTGTGATCTACTCAGGCATTCTGACAATTGGCACCTTCTGAAAGGTCAGTTTCTAAAGGTGATGAGATCTTCCCAAACCAACATAACCTCCCCTACTCAGTAAGCTGTTGTGAAAACATGTTCCAGAAATGGGGTATTCTATTTTGATAAAATATACACAAAGGAGAGGGAAAGGAGCTGGATTAGACTGGAAAGTGCCTTCAACGTTTGGCCACCGGCAACAGCTCCTACCCTGACACCACAGATCACTGCTATGGATGATGCACTGAGGTGTCCACTTGAAAGAGAATGCAAAATCCCAAGAGTCATGATTGATGGTGTAATGCAAGTTGTGTTTAGAAAGCCCCTACCCGTGTTTAAACATTGGTTACTTGGAAACCTTGTGCCAGTGGCTATTTTTCAATTTACATGTACAACCTCACAGAAACATTTACTCCACATGAAAGACAGCATACACTATTTCACCGTGGTTTCTGGTTCCACTCTAACGATGTCAGTCATACCTTTACATCTACTTGTGAGCTTGCCAGTTCCAAGAGCACTGCAGACATTTGTCACAGGATGCTGCTTTGATGCCACTTCAGGTTACCTTTACAACTATCGTTCTGCTGGCATTTTTCTAAGCTTTCCAGTTGTAGAAAGACTGAACTTAACACATTTTTCTGGTTAGCTTTCCTGGTAAAGGTGACTAAAGCATTTAAAAGTTTACTAAGTCACAGTGACACATCCAGGAAGAATGCAGCTGGTGAGGCTGCAATGCTGGGTTACAAAACAACTTGATCTAGTGCAAATCCTTACTCATCCCAACAAGTTTTGCAGTGGCCACATACCACCTCTAAAGGCCTTCTGGTTTACTACTGAATTTATTTCTGGTTTTGGACTCAGACACACCACATTAAGATGCCTAAAAAGAGAAGCTAAAAACATCAATGGCAAAACAACAAGTCTCTAGTTACACTAATTTTGATTATTATAATAACTGCAAAAAGAATCCCACTTTTCACAAGGGACAGAAAGTTTACAAGCAATTTGAGTTATGTCAGACAAGTCATGGATGTGAATGACAGAACAAGTGTCTCTGCCTTCTCTTGGCTTTCAGGTAATCCAGCCTAGGAGTTACTGGTTACAGCATTCTCCTGGTGAGAAAGGGTCAGTGTCATGTATAAACACAGAATTTTTCTCAGCAATAATTGATGTAAAAAAAAATTGCAATTGCATTTGCTTTTCTTTAAAACCAGGAATTCTGATTTTTCTAAAATAACAAATTAAAATTTAGCCTGCCTCATAATTACTTCTGTTGTAACTAATTTTCTCATCATTGTTCTATTAACAGTGGCCCCAGTAACTCTCATAATTAAGTTTGTAAACATTTTATACATTGAAAGAAAGCCTTTAGGAAAAACTCCTAACAGCAAAATTGCTCCAAGCAGTTACCTCTTACCCTGTTAAATAAGCTGGTAGCAATAGTGCTGGAGAAATCTCACAATGTTTAGTCGTGTGTATACTTAGTGAGGTGTTTTCATATTTCTTTGGTTTGCCAAGACTATGACATTTTGGAACTCTTCTGGACCCGAGATGAAATAATACATAAGAATATTGCATCATCAAAATACATGTTGCATTTCTGGGCAGTAGTTTAATTGGGACTTTCAAAGATCACCCAGAACACTCCAGTAATGGCAAATATAGCTCTTGTCCAAAGAAAAGGTGACCAAATGCAGTCCAGCCTCACAAAGAATCTAAAATGCAAGGTGTCAATTTATATCAGAAAGGATGGAATAATCCAGGTGAAATAAAGCTTTAAAATACAGTTCAATGGTTCAGGCCACTCCTTTATTATTGTCTGAAAACACCTTTTATGGACAGATGTCTTAGAAAGATGGGCATGTTCTTTCTTGTTCTTACAAAGGACACACAGGACACAGTCCTTTGAGCTAAATGTAAGGCTCAGTTATAGCAGAGACTGGATAGCAGTCCTGGATAATAATCCTTCCTGGATTATGCCCCTCTGTTTTCACAGTTCTGGAGCCCAGTGCTTCCATACAAGTTAACCAGAAACATAGCCCTCACTGTCAGCAACGGTGCTAACTTCAATATGATTCAGCCATCAGTAGAGTCATTCTCTAAACTGTTACTGTTTCAGTGGGCATTTCCTACCACACAGGACTGTGGAACATCAGCATATATGGCACAGCATCCTCCTTTGTGATGCACAACACTTTCTATTGTATATTCGCAGCAGACCACACAAAGGTCATCAAAAGCTGATGAATACTGCTGATAAACTGACATGCCTGTTCTGACTAAACCCACTGAAATAACCAGGGTAGCAGGGAAGTATCTACCTTCAAGGTGATAAGGTAAATGTACTGGAGCAGATTCACACAGCAGTCTGAAAGCCTCTGAGTGGATGGTTTAAAAGTCCAGGCAGCAATGGGCTCACAATTCAGATTTTGCTTAACTACCTCAGTACAAGAAAAGTTAGCAGAATATAAAAAAAAATTAATTTTGAGGAAGTTCTGCATAAGCTTTCTGCAATTAACAAATAAAGTGTCTCTACAGCCTCTGCCTTCCAACTGAACCAAGGTTATTATCAATTTGCTCTTGATATAGAAAAGTAATTTTCATGTACTTACATCTGCTCTCAGAAGGATGAGAAAATGGTTTGTGAAGTTCCCATTAGCATACAAAAGCAGCAACATCTGCTGGGAGTTTAAGAGGCTCATTGCTGTCACTTAATCAGCACCACAGGCTACAGTTGGCCACCTCTGCCCTTGTCAGCACTCAAGGTATGGTTTCAAGAGATGAGGGGATAATTTGACCACACAAGACAAGGTCCCTGCAAGATTTCTGTATCTATAAAAGAAGTTCTATTCTTACTTAGCTGAGGATAGCTAAGCCAACTACGCGGATTCCTCCTTACATAAACCTGTAAGCAGTATTGTAGCTGAAGTCATTAATCCTTTAGTACAATATGTAACTTAAGTGGCATTTTAACAAGCTGCACGAAACCTAACAGCGAGTTCATCTCTCTGTGCTGTAGCTGTAGCACCATCTAGAGGATTCGAGCTAGAAATCCCTCACAAGATATGGGGGGGGGGGCCCCCCCGGGGAATAATTGCTCTCAAATGTTAAAAAAGAAAAAATCTTTACACAAAAAATATTTTGAGTGAATTTTCATTCTAATATTTATCTACAGAATAAAATTGCTTCATACATGACTACATGACTTACAGTTTTTTTTACTTTCCCAACTTAATATATTTGGATTCAAGAAGGTAAAAAGATAAGAACAAATAAAACTTTATCAACAGATAGATGGGGAAAGATCTTGATCTCATCCACTCTAGGTGACATGGTTGCTATGATCCGTTTTTAGGTGGAGGAAGGCAGGATCTTTCCTGCAGTTTTGTTCATAACATTGAGAGGACAACTAACTTTACTCTTTCTCTATTTTCACTTTTTAACAGTTTTTAATAAAATCAAAACCAAATTTTAATCAGGGGAAAGGGAAGAGGTTTTCAATTTAACAACAGTGATTATGGTTTTTATTATATTTCACAGATATAAGGAGATACTGACAACAACTGATTGCTTACTGCAGAGCTATTAAAAGATGGGGAGAAGGACACATACAGCCCTGGAGCCCTGTGGATTATTTTTCCATCCACAGACACCCCAAACCTCACTCTGACTACTTTCAGCTTAGCACACTCTCCCCCATAACTTTCCTCTGCTGCTGCCACAAAATAACACTTTCGTTCCTGAAGCCTTCTGGGGATAGCAAAATTCAACCTCCTTGTTGCTGCTACAAAACTCAGAAAGCTTCTTAGAGACTGAAAGACAGAATTAATTGAGAACATTAACAGTGTAATTGCTCCACAGAGGTTTGGGGAAGGAAATCCCAACTCTAACTCCCGTTCATTGGTTGGTATGCGACTGCCCAGAAGCATGATACATATAGTGACACATCCTCCCTAAATATTCAAACTTTTTTACACCTGAACACAATTCATATTTCTCTGTCAGTATCATGTCAAAATGATCATGTAATACCACACAGTCATTTATTTTTAGAAACTCATACGGACTGTGTGCTAAGAATGGGCTTCACACTACTATGCCACATTATCTGCTTCTACAAAATTTCCTTTGAGAATGTTTGGCAGAAAGGATTAAACAGAAACAACCAATGGTACCATCATCACCAGCAACACTATTGGTCATGGATGAGTACATTCCACTGTATAGGCCAACAAAACTAAAACTTCTGAAGATCTCCCACCACAGAGGCAAGGGAGTTATTGTAATAGCTGGCAAACCTTTACAGTTACTTGCAATCAAGACCACTGGTTATAAAAAACAATTTTTTTCCTGTACAGAATGATTTATGCTATTTCATAATGGCTGGCAGCAAATCAAGTCTGTTTACAGAACTTTAGTATAGCTCAAGTCCCTCAGAGTGCCTTACTCCCTCCCTACCTCTTCCTGGTCTCTGGGCTAAAGCAGCAAGGAAAGAATAAAATTCTCATGTACTTACCAGCAAAATCCTCTTCCTAGCTTCCATGTGGAAAATTACATCTTCTGTCAAATGGGGACGAGGGGGAAAGAACAGTTAAATATTTTCCACCTTTCAACTGATTTTCCTATCTTAACTATAAATGCAGACATTAGTTCAAACACCAGACTACAGGTGCAAACACCCAAAGTTTAAGCATCTCTGGCTACTTTTACTAGCAAATACTTAAACTTATTCACACAGATAAGCATTTGATAGATTCCAGTCCTAGACTATGAGGGGTTTCTGGTTCTCAAGCAGTCTCACTGTGTTCCTAATACTGCATTCACTAATACATATCAAAATAATAATTCTGTTGCTTGGAATCTGAATTCTCAGTTAAATATCAAGTAGCAAAGAAAGTATTTTCATTTGTTGTTATGTGTCTAAGTCTGAGACAAAGCCTGAGTATCTGTAAAAGTCTGCATGTTTCAGTCTTTCATGCTGAGCATATATAATGCTTCCAAGAATAATCCTGCATCATGCAATCTGTCATTTTGTCTCCAGTTCAGTGTTTTTGCAAAGCTGAGATGGTATTTTTATTAGTTTTAAAAAGATATGTAAGCATCTTGCCTCCATGTGGGAAAACAGTGGTCTTGAAAGAAGCCTTTGGAATTAAAAAAGAGCAATAGGGCATCAGAGTAGAAAAGTACCTCCTTTTCATTTTTCTAAATCCCTGCAATTGCCAGCCCAGTTACCAGAGGTAAGATCACCACTATCCTTTACAGTATGTTACCCTACAGTGTGTTGACTTCAACTGGACTGTAATAGCAAGGATCACTCCTGTGACCAACACCAACAGTAGGACCCAGTTTATATTGTGTAATCTATAAATTTCCATTTAAGAGCACCTACTGACTGTATTATAACAAAACTGCTCAGCAGATGTTCCAGTCAGATTCAATAACCACACACCAGTGCTTCCAATTTTTCAAATAAAATGAAAACAAATCTGTAAAGATACCTCATTTCCAAAAAAAAAAAAATCAGAACACCACACATCTCAATGTGGCAAACCTACATAGGTGCTATCAAGGCAAATTGCAGTGCTGGCTGAACTGTTTGCAAGTGAAAACTCACACAGCTGAAGCAGTGACTTACATGGCAGGCGGGTTGGACTAGATGACCTTTGAAGGTCCCTTCCAACTCAAACTATTCCATGAGTCTATGAGTATCAGCTACAGGCACAGTGTGCTTGATTGTTTTCTACACCATGCCATAGGGTGCTGGGTTAACTCCTAATAGCAGCTTTTAGAATATAAATACTGGTATTTCTGATAATTTCCCCTTTCCCTCATCAACCAGATTTTCAGTTCTGTTACACAGTTACCTGAATACACAGCAACACCAACACTTCTGACCTATGCTGCCCCTGCCAGCCTGAAACTTAGTAAATGCCTAGAATAACATGGTTGCAATAGATAGGGCAATCCCATACACTGATGTCATTTGCGCTGCAACATCAGGCCATAAACTGCATTAAATTACATGCTGATACTGTTGCAACTTTCAAACACGACTGGATCTTTAAATGGTTACAGATTAATAACCAGATTGTTAATTTGTTCTTAAGACCACTCTGTTTAAAAAAATAGGGTGAGAGGCAGCTTCCCAAAACACCGAACTGTAAAGTTGACAGCTCTTTGAGGTAAGCAACTAGAAGTGGCACGGTGCCCAAAAAAGCTTCACATACAACACATAAAACTGAGTAAAACTAGCCTCTTTCTCGTAAAAACACACATCAGAACCTTTTGAACACATCAGCACTATTTACTGTGTGCATAGAGAACTATGGCTCTTCAAGTACCTTGCATGTGAAATCTATACCTCTACAACTTCAGTAAACAGAAATACATGTGTAACTTATTTACACTGCAGTATTATAAAAGTGGACTATTGCAGTTTTAAGTCTTGTAAACCATAGCAGCAGCGTTTCTTACAGAAGTGCTTCACATACCAATACATAGTCACCACAGTACAACTAAACTTGGAAACATCTATTGATGAACAAGCAGCTCCACACACCCACATGGTATGTAACATTTGAGGGAAAACAGAACACGGACAAGGCCAACACACACAGGAAAAAGAAAAATTATTATTTCTAATAACAATAACTTAGTATCTCTGGCATTTAGCTAGTATCAGCCTCATCTTTAAAAACCCTTCGACACCCAAGAATTAAGGCAACCTGCATTAGTTTCACCTCACTGCCCAGCCAGGGTCCGCCAACACAGCCCAGGCACTCCACCACCCAAACCCACGTTAACAACCACCAACCACAAGGCGCTCCCCGGGCCCGAGGCAGCACCGCTCCGCGGCGTCACTTCCGCCGCTCCATAGCAACGCCGGCGTGGCCGTTGCGAAGCCATGGTAATGGCGGTGCTCTCGCCCACCGCCCCGGAAAATGGCTGGGGAATTGGGGGGGGGGGCTGGCTGAGCCCCGGGGCTTGCTCTGAGGCACGGCGGTCCCGCGGCTTCCTCACAGGGGTCGCGCACGCCGCCGGTCGGAGGTGCGGTGGCGTCCTCTGTTGTCCTCTGGTGTGCTTTCTCCCCACAGGCTGAAGTGGAGGAAACCCTAAAGAGGATTGAATCCCACAAAGGTATTATCGCGACTATTGTGATAAACGCCGAAGGTAAAACGCCATCTGCTTTCTCCAAGTAACAAGCTTGGTAGTGGTAATGAGCATAGTAACTCCAAAGCACAAAATTGCGGATTATGAGGTGTTAATGCAGCCCACTTGCGATGTTCGCTGAAGGTGGTGTGACTTTGAAGAATGTATGTTTCATTTCAAGACACGAACGTTTGGTTGGTGTCCATTTCTTCAACCTCTCCATATGATGTAGTGTTTCATTTGAGTTAATGGAAAGCAGAGCCTTGACTTAAGTTTTCTTTGAAGAAATGGCTAGAGGTATCATAATCCTAATTTAAGAGGTCCCATGTTGTTACTTAACCCCCTTCTTTAACTAAACTGTACTTTCTTTTTCGGAACCGCATCTTGGGTATGTCTTGGTAGGTTGCAGAAAGGGAGAACACGTGGCATTGAGATGTTGCTTTTACAGGTGCTTAGTCCAAAATTCTTTGCATAAACAAGAATATTCACTGCCCCCCTCTTCTGAAAAGTGACAACAGAACAGAAACGTCAGGAGAAAAATTTCTACTGAACAAAGTTGGTTTCCTATTCTGGGGGCCATTCCTTGGCCCTGCTAAATATTCACAATTTCTTTAAATTGCTCATTCTGTTATGGTGTGTTGTCATAGGTGGAAGAGCAAGCTTCATTTCAGGCCAGCTTTGGCTGTGATTGTGAAGGATGCAAGCCAAAAGCTTGTGAAGAAACCAGTTTTCAGGAGCTAAGCTTCCCAGGTTAATGTGTTTCAACCATTCCCTTACAAAAAAAGACTTGAGTAACCTCGCCTATAATTTATCTGACCTCCTTCACTTTTACGTCTCCCGTGTCCCCAAAACTATGGTGTGAGCAGCAGATTAGCAACAGCAGGCAAGAAAACTAAGAAAGCCTAAATGTTGTTTAGTGTTTAGAAAATGTGGACAATTTAATTTGTGTGCCTGGAAACGTTGAGTAAAAAGTGCCTTTGTTCACGTAATAGATGATGCAGGTCAAGAGAGAAGGGCATAGCCTGGCAAATAGGAACTGACAAGCTGCTTTTTGCCTGCATGTGCTTATGTCTAGATATGGCTGTTGGCTACAGTGAAATGCAACCTGGCTGCAGAACCAGTACTGCTTCAGCCATTTCTGTATTGTTTCAGTAGATAGGATGTGACCTGATCCAATGATCACTTGGACTAAGCTGCAAATGAAAAGTGAACAAAATCAAGCATTTAGATAACACAGATTATCCCTTTTGAGCTTGCTGATTGATATATTTCTTAAGGCAAAAGCACCACTGAAATCAAACAGAAAACTAACCCAGTTTTACGTTCTGCTACTTGGAACAGTAGACTTCTTGGCACAATGTTGGTCTAATATGCTTTCCCAATCAGGTGTATTACTGCTGTGCATCATGACCTCAGGTAGAGCTGTGCAGAATTAGGATGATATCATGCTTTTTAAAAGACTGTTTTGGATTACATCTGTCTCAGTTTTGATTTACTAAAGAGTGAGATAAATTCCACCTTCCTTTTTTGCACATGAGACTTGTTTATAGCAAGGTAAAAAGTTCCCTGGGTCCTGTTCAGACTTCCTCATCCTCACAAATTTGTAGAACATGTGGCCAGGCTGAAGCTGGTGGACAAAACCAGTGCAGGATTTGGGGATTTAGTTTATCATTTAGATATGTTTCATTGCCAGTTGTGAATACAACAGAGACTCTTCTCCATAGAAATGTGTTTCATCTAAAAAAGATGAAGCTCTCTTTTCACTGACATAAATGGTTGTCCTTCACTAAGATTTTATAGTAGTGTAGGTACATACATACATAATAGTGTGCAGGTGAAATAGCAGATTAAAGCTTCCTGATACAAACATTGCCTATCACTTTAATGCTTAATGTTGATTTGTTAATTGAAACACTACGCTAAGTGTACCTTGTTTATTTGGAAAATCTCACTAACTCTTGCTGTTCTTCACAGCTGAGAAAGATCACACTGCAGCATTTCTAATGAAGGATTTATTTGCCTTTCTGTACTTGGGAGGCAGAGGCAACGAGAATTTGTCCTAAAGCAGTCACAGCTGAGTTTTAATCTAAGGATGTCACCAGTGTCCATGCATTTTCATGTTATTATTAGACCTTGGAGGATCATTTAACATTTACCATTTTTGTTAAAAGTGCTGTATTTGTTGAAGCAATCATCTAGGTATAAGGTCATATAAACCTGACACTAATTCATTGCTGCTTTTAAGTGACTTACTCTTTAATGATGTGATTTTATACATATTCTCATGCTAATGCAGTGCTTGGGAACACCTGGTTGTTTCCATTAAAACATCAGTTATAATCTGTGTAATAAACATTCAACAAAAAGGGTCTTCTGGGTCATTCTGTACTCTTCCCTACACTTCACATCCTACGAACTAAAAAATATTTCTCAAGTGTAGTAGTCTAATATCTGAGGGTGTTCTGTAACTTTTTACTCCTTTGCCTTTAACGCTTTATGTAGCTTTCACTGGTTTTATATGTTGATTCTTCATTCATAAGCAAACTCTTCAGCTCAAGTCATACTGCTCTGTTTTTGTATTGCTATCCTGTCCATGTGGAAGGCACAGTATAAATGTATGCAAAGAGAAAACTGCCTTGCCAGCTTGTAATCTATTGTCTTTGCTAGTAGGTCAAATAAATTTTTTATTAGTGGAACATGCTTATTAAAGCCAAACAGTTTGACACTTCCAGGATTAGAGTGAACCCTGCTTTTACTTTCACCTGGTAGCCTATTAATATGAAAAGTGTTATTTGACAACTCAATGATAAACAACAATTCATTAAATTGTTAAAAATTAATCTTGACTTATGTGGTCATATTTTTAGAAGTTGGGATCAGGACACTGTGTACTACCAATTGTCAATATTTTGCTGCTAATTGGAAGGGGTTGTTCCAAGGGTGGGTTTGCTTGCCAAATGCAAACATGCCACTTCTGCCCTTTGATTGCTTTTTGTTTTTCACTGGGAATGTGTAATTTCTACTGCTGCACAAGCCAAATGCTACAGTTAAAGTATGGGCTGAATACTTGCAACCAAGATACAAACTTGGTGACTGCTTAAACTGATGAGGCACCATAACTGGTTAAATACTACAGAATGGAACTTGGTAAGTATTTAAGAGCCCTAAACAGCAGTTACGCTCTTTCCAAAGTTCCACAGGACAACTCAATGTTTAATTGACAGTGATTAATATAAATGATACTTTTAAAAGTATATAGATACCTGAAATCGACATAACTCCCTTCTACTACAAAACAGAAAACACTATGAAATCCTTCTTTTTCCTTTTATGTTCTGCTATATATAAAGAATATACAATTAAAGTGAATGATTATTAAAGAATTATTTGTTTGCAGGAATTCCAATTAGAACAACTTTTGATAACTCTACAGCAGTGCAGTATGCAGCTCTTCTTCAGCAGCTCGTCATGAAAGCTAGGAGCACAGTACGAGATATTGACCCTGAGAATGATCTAACCTTTCTTAGGATCAGATCAAAGAAACATGAAATTATGGTAGCTCCAGGTATGTTTCTATTAAAATAACAATAGAATTGTATGTCTTTTCAAGTTTGGGATTTTTCCTTTACAAAGAAGGCTACTATAGAAAATCTCTATTTTTGAAAATAAATGTATGAAAACATAATCGTATATTCACCATATACTTGGATGTGTTAAGATTTTAATGTGCAGAGTTCATATTATTCAAGCTCAGAAACAGGAAAAGCAATTCTAGATCTGATTAATGTTCTGGTTTCTGTGGGTTTGCACAAAGCAAAACTGGACAAATAAATATGTATCAAGCAGAGTGTGTCTATATGTATTATTAAAGGCAGGAAATATATTTTAGCTCAAAACAAATGCAAAAAATAATCTTTTTTCTCTTAAAAAAATGTTTTTTACTTAGTATGTTGTGACATGCTAGCCATAGATAGGATTTGTGTCACAGATACACAGTATTATCACCAACATAGTAACTGTGATGCAATTATTTTCCTTAAAGCAACCATGGGAATATAGTAATCTGTTTCTCACTCACGATAAATACAAATATATGTTAATTTGTTAGTTGTGTCTCTAAAATAGATCACAAGGCCAGATGAAACAGATGAAACTTTAAACAGAAAGAGAGTAGATTTAGATTAAATACAAGGAAGAAATTCATTACAGTGAGGTTGATGAGGCCCTGGCACAGGGTGCCCAGAGAAGCTGTGGTTGCCCCATCCCTGGCAGTGTTCAAGGCCAGGGTGGATGAGCCTTGGAGTAACCTGGTCTAATGGAAGGTGTTCCTGTCCATGCCAGGGTTTGAAACTGGATGAAGTTTAAGGTCCTTTCCAATGCAAAGAGTTTTGCGATTCTGTAAGCTATGGTGAAGCTGTGCTCACTTACCAGTACAAGGTGACTTAGGCAAAGTGGAAGTGGGATCAGAGTGGAGCAGACATCCTGCTATGTGCGCTAGCTCACTGAGAGACCAATAGTATGCAGGACTGTGACTGAAGTGTCCAATGGGGGTATGCAGAACAGAGAGGAAGCTTCAGGGATCTCTTTGAGTGACTGTTAGTGATGACCAGCCTTTACTGGGGCAGTCCTCTAATGCTGATTTCATAGCAAATGTGGAGCAGAGGTACTGCACTAGGTATGCATTACCATGCCTTGCTAGAATTATTTATAATGCTGCTATGAAACCAGGATGTGTGAAAGAAACCTGGCGCTGTCATTAAGTGTTAACATTAGTCATCAGCTGGTAGATTAAAATTTTAGTTTCTATTTTGGAGTGTAAGCATAATGCATTTTTTAAATCATGGGTTTTGCTCATTGATTTAAACTGATGCACTTGATTCTTACTTTGCATTTGCCCTTCAATTATTTTTCAGAGGTGACATTTTGACTAGCAACTATTAAAGCATGTTGGTCTGAGAATAAGTGGTATAAAATGTGAAGCTCTTTTGCTAACAGGAAGATCGGTTGTTCAAAAGCTTGACTGTATGTTACTATAATAGAAGGTGGCAAATGAGCCACCTGTAATCTGTAAGTTGGTTTGGCATGAAAGTGACAATGCGGGAGTGCAGCTTCTAAATCTCCAAAGCAGATATGACCCTGCTAAATTCACTGGATGCTTCAAGAAATGTTAACAGATAATGTTAAATGGCTACGCAACTGAATTGTTTCCAAAACATCCCTGGGCATTTACAATTAGTAGGTGAAGTCTGACATTCTTAGAATTTATTCACAGTAGAAGTCTATTCAAATCTTTTCTGCTTTTTTTTAATGGGGTTCTTGATTCTGAATAAACTAGGTAGTGAACTGAAAGACCTTATCTGCACCTGCAGGAAAGGCTGCAGATGTCAAAAGTATTTTTATTATAACAAGTGCTAGCTTCCAGGTGCTTATCCTGTGACTTTTTTCATGTTGTTCAAATATTTTTACAGCTTCTTGAAAGCATACCTACTGCTTACTAAAATAGTTTTAATTTGGTATGGTTAAGATGTATGACACAGGTTATTTTCTTATCTGTAATCTCAATTTTTGTACAAAGTGCTTACATTTTCTAAATGTGTTTTTCATATAAGTGCCATTGCTTTTATGTTTTAGAAATAAAAAGTTGAAGAGAAATTATGAATAAAGGGTATTTATCAGCAAATAAGATAAAATATTGAACTAAACATTTTTACATCTTTTTGCAGATAATGGTTATCTCCTGGTCGTTGTTCAGAACCCATGTGAATAGTCCTACTACGGCAATACTTTCAGAGACGATGTAGTTCTACATGTTAAACTGCTACTACTTGTTGATATTTAGTGTCAAACATAGCACTAACTAATTTACATGAAGTGTAACTGTCATGTCTGAAACGTGGACAATTTAAAGCTCCCAGCTGTAGCTATGTCAGTTTGTGTTGGAGCAAATCATTATGCATCTACCAAGATATTGTATGTTTATCTTGATACTCAGGAGAGCAATAATAAAGCAAAATGCTGAAAACTCTCTTAATGGATGTTCAAGCTATTCTTGCAATTAAATCATTCTCTTTACACTCCTAACATTATGCAGAGGGAGAAATCCTACCTCAAGGGAAGCTGTAGACTGCGTATTCATATATCTGTAAGTGTGTCTTTATGAACCAAAGTACCCACAGTTACACAAACCAAAGAACCCAAGTATAGTTCACGGTAGTAACAGTGGACTGAATGTTGCCCTTGTCTTTTACTCCTGGGTTTTAAGTTTTCGAAGGAAATAAAAGTGAAAGAAAAGCTCTTTTAGTATTTTCCAACTTCTACATATGGGATTAATAGCTTCCATTTAATGTTTTCAGTACTGGGGATTTCAAGCAGACAAAGTTGAGCCTGCACTCTGATGCAGAGCTACTGTTTGTTGGTAATGGTAAACAGTTCTGTTTGGTAGCTACTTGAGCCTTTAGATCCAGTACACAAGCAGCACACCTTAGTGACTTTGGACAAAGGGTGGGTTAATTCTTAGAATGTTTTCCAAATCAGATCTGGTTTTATACAGCAGCAGTATAGAGCAGATCTGTATGGTTGAGTGTCTTTAAAACAGATGCTCTGACAAAACGCTGCTACAGCTACAGCTACCTACAAATCCATTCTGCTCAGAAGATACACTGTGTCAGTGCTTTTAGATGAGTCTCTGGTGACATAATATCCCGGCTGTGGGAGGGCAGTACAGAGCGGGCTGCAGCACCCCTGTTCTGCCAGCGCTGCTGGCCTCAAAATCCCAAAACCATGTGAAGTACATTTGAGTACATGAAGATACAGTGTGAAAGGGCAGGAGTTTGAGCTGACCCTGTGCTAGAAAAAGCATCCTGTCATGCTTGTACTATAAATCGCCTCAAGTTACAGAGATTATATATAAATTTTATCCATTAATTAATTAGACATTAAAACTTCATATTTCCAGTTGGTTACAAGAAGGTTTTTCTTCTAGATATAGGAAGGAAGAACAACAAAGGGGGGTGGCTGTGAGGATGAAAGGAAAATGAATCTGTTGAACACTGCTCAGGGATCTTTGTGGTACATCGTATGAATTGTGGTTGAGGTTATGAAACTGATAAATCATGGTCCCAGTGGCTATGAAGTCAGCGATCACTGTTAGGACTATGTTATGTATCGCTCAAAACTTACACAAAGGAGAATATCAAAGTCTGGTGCTATATTTTTCAAATCTGAGTGTTTGTTCAGATTTTGCTGAGTAGCTTGAAAATGCTAGATTTCACTGAAAAATCCGGGAGAATTGCTCCTGGGAGCTTAAAGTAGCCAAGTGCTAAGATCTCAAAGGCTACACCAGACAGGTCCCACACCCAAGCAGTGGGCATGGGGACCAAGGAAGATTCTGGGCACTGAGACGAAGCAAATCCAGAGGCCCAGTGTGTTGGAAATTAAACCCATAAGGGCTATTCAGCATGATAATGCTATGTAAATCAACAGGACACTACTGGCTGCACTTACTGTAGTCAGTGCTGTGCCAGAGGAATTTCCCTACTGTGGGAGGGAAGACAACCATTTGAAGTTGTCTGTAATGAACCGATATATTAACATGTGTCAATGCTTTCAAAACCCTAAGTTTTTGTTATCTTCTCTGCTTCTGTTGTGATAATTTTAAAAATCCAACTTATTTATTGCTATGCATTAGTGCATATTTATTCTATTAATATCCTGGCATGTCAGACACCCACCAATTCAAAGCCCAGACTTCTCAGCACATACCCAAAACTATGGCTGAATTCCAACCAATATTAATGAGCTTTTAGGGCAAATAGTTTTATTTTCATGGTTTTCTCTAACAGCATTAAATTCTGTGGAGGCTTCACTGTGTAAGTCCAGAAAGCTGCCACAATTACCATCCCTGTTACACTTTTCTATTGTCAAAAATAATATTACTGTTGCAATTTCCAGCATCATTAAAAAATGTCCTTCATCTCGAAGAACACAATAGTGCACCACAAAGAGGAAAGCTTAGTGTCTGGCAGTGCTCTTTCCTTTTGGTCTTTCTGATACATGTATTCTCTTTAGAGACTTTAATCCAATATTTATGAAGCAGCTGATGATTGCTGCTTGATAGTAGCTTGATAGTAGCTTGATAAAGCACTCAAAAAGACACTTAAGCCAAATCATTAAAATTAAACACATGCTAAATCATTTTGCTGAAAAGTGGTTTTATGTGGAAAAATGGCCTTCAGCAGATGTGTGTAGTTCTCCATGGGTCAAATGCTGCTCTCAAATTAGGTTCTTTCCCATTCCTAGGAGAAGCATAGGTGCAGATAAGAGGGCAAAGTTTGGTCTGTTCATAATGATGTGTGTTGGTAACCAGCGCTATGCAAACACACGGGCTGAGCTGTGCTGCTGCCAGGTACTCTTACCAAGGCAGTCCATAACTGGGTTTCCTCATAAGCACTGGAGTATTATACAGTTTTGGCAACATCTTCACTAGGGAGCGTAAATTGAAATACTCCATTTCATTGCCTGACAATTTGTTCCTATTTCCTGTTAGAAAAAGCAAGCTGAACATGTGTAAACTTTTCATTTAGGTCTTTCGGTGGGAAATGAAAGTAACCATGGTTAAATCTCTAGCAGTCTTAGTGGAAAACCTTCATCAGCATACTGATCTGAACAAACGTGGGCCATTGGAAAGGAATGGAATTGTCCAGACAAAACACAAGGGTTTTGTGCTGTAAGCTATTTGAGCACCTCAGAAGTGTTACACCAAGTTATTTAAGCTGTCTTTTATGTGGACTGGCAGAGATTTTACTAGTTAACAATAAACTGGGGGGGAGGTTGAGGAAAAAAGTAGCATGAAAAAGATTAATTTCATAGATGATCATTTCGACAAGGGGATGTTGGGAATGTCAAGAGGGCTGTTGTTCACTGAAGGGCAGCGCTTGGGTTGAATTGTAACATGCTAGTTCAGCAATCAGCCAAGTAATAAATCATGTCAGTATCACATGCTTGGGGTCCTCAAAACCCACTAAAATAGAAAGGTCTTGGAGAGCCTCCCACTTTAAAATAAAGTACCTTGTATTTTCCTTAACATTTAATTGTTCAAAATGGAAGGTCCCTCATGGGACAATGGCTTAGGCCAGCTGACTCCATCAAGGCAGTTGCTCATTTTTTATTTTTCTCATCTGCCAATTAAATACTTAATTTAAATATTTCATTTAATGCACATTCAGTGGGTTCTCTAGCAAGAAGACAAATCAATCCCAGCTCCACTCTCTCAGCTCTGCAGGACACAAGTTCTGGGGTGGACCCACAGAAAAAGCCGCAGTTTTGCCAAATAAAGTGATGGACATCCTTTTAATTATGTTTTAATTATAAAATCAAAATCTAAATACAGTAAGATGATTGCCCTATCAGTTTTTCAAATCTCAGGCTGCTAAATTAGAGCGCCAGGAGAATTCCAAGTTTCTGTTCCCATTACTTGGCACCTGTACAAATTACATCTCTCAGTTTGTAGAAAAATTAGGTCATAACAAGAAGGCTCACTGCAGGACTTCACAGTAGTCGTGGGAGAAACGAAGGCCAATGCTTGGAGAAAAGGCCTAGAATGTCCCAGGTTAATTAAACTTAACAGTAAGGAACTGTTCAGATCATGGCATTATCACAGTATCACAGTATGTTAGAGATTGGAAGGGACCTCAAAAGATCATCTAGTCCAATCCCCCTGCTGGAGCAGGAACACCTAGATCAGGTTACACAGGAACGTGTCCAGGCGGGTTTTGAATGTCTCCAGAGAAGGAGACTCCACAACCTCCCTGGGCAGCCTGTTCCAGTGTTCTGTCACCCTCACTGAGAAGAAGTTTCTTCTCAAGTTTAAGTGGAACCTCTTGTGTTCCAGTTTGTACCCATTGCCCCTTGTCCTATCATTGTTTGCCACTGAGAAGAGCCTGGCTCCATCCTCGTGACACTCCCCCTTCATATATTTATATACACTAATAAGGTCACCCCTCAATCTCCTCCAAACTATAGAGACCCAGCTCTCTCAGTCTTTCCTCATAAGGGAGATGCTCCACTCCCTTAATCATCTTAGTTGCCCTGCGCTGGACTCTCTCCAGCAGGTCCCTGTCCTTCTTAAACTGAGGGGCCCAGAACTGGACACAGTATTCCAGATGAGGTCTCACCAGGGCACAGTAGAGGGGAAGGAGGACCTCTCTCGACCTACTAACCACCCCCCTTCTAATTGATTCGAATCTCTCTGAATTTCAGGACTTTCACAGTGGGACTAGAAACAGGCCCCTGTAAATAACACAGCAACTAGCAGGAAAGCAAGGGCCGCAGGGAGAGCTGAACTGATTCCTTGAGCTTTGCGGACAATTTAGAGAGAGAAGGGTAATTCTCCTTCAAGATGCACCCAAGCAGAAAATCAGCCAGTCCAAATACATGCAATTTTCAGCCATCTCTGCAGATTATCCTTGAATAATAATGAAAGTGCTCAGCATTTGTTTCTGACGAGTTTTCAATAGTTACATTGAACAAAGTACACTCTTTTTAAGAATACCAATATAAGTCAAACTTCTTCAAAGTAGGTGATTAACAAGAGGGCATGAGTTGTACCTGCTCACATCACACTTTAGGCAGTGGGTGCTCTAGGCTCTGCATGTTGATTTGGGTGGTGCTGTAATAAGTATTCTTCCTCTCCTCCGAAAATACCTAAGTGTGCCTTTGACATGAGTCCCCCATTAGTTGCTCTGGCTCTGCACCATTGGTGTCTGCGAAACTGGTTCTTTCTAAAGCAGGTAAACCAATGCACAAAAGATACCATCACCTTGAGTATGTGCTAATCGGGTCAGAAGGAAATCTCAACATGCTTTGACTGCTTTGTCTTTAAAGATAATGAATAGGAAGACAAGAGCACTAGACCATTTTTTGATGAAGATAGGCAGAAGTCAGCAACAGGTTTATGAAGTATTTTCGAAGGCCATGACTGAAGAAGCAAAATAGCTAAACAGGTTCAGGCTAAGAAAAATTGCTATAATATGG